CGGGTGCCACTTGGTAGAAAAATAGCACTACCTACAAACACCAGAAACTAGTTGCGACTCCTGGACAGAGGTCAAGTTGGTTAATAAGTCGAGAGGGGCACTTAAGCATTCCAATGTGTGGTAGTATCGAGTCATTGGACAACATACATAGAACTCAGTGCTTAAGGACGGTTCCAGTGAGACAACCCACCATGTACTCCTACATGGCCTCTCACCACTACCTTTACCAAATCGTGTTCACACACTTCACTCTCAGCATCAGAACATATCGTAACACTCCAATTCATTCCCAATGAACCAGACCTGACACAACTCTAAGCAATAGCAGGCATAGCATGGTAGGAACACAACATGGCTCAATCAACTCCTACACATGCTAGTGGGTTTCAACTATTTACTGTGGCAATGACAGGTCATGCAGAGGAATGGGTTCAACTACCGCATCACAAAGTAGCAGGTGAATCATTGTTGTCCTAATGCAATAACTGAGAGCAGGAGCGAGAGAGTAGGATTGTATCGGAATGAACAAGGGGGTTTGCTTGCCTGGTAAATCAACAAGGAAGACACTGCTTCACAGACAGGTACTCTGGAACGTCTCCGGAGCAGGACCTATCGAGAAGGAACGGTGCCAACAATCAAAACACAAGCATATGCAACACAATGATGCATGGACATGGCATGAAGATGTGATGCTGATTGTGCTAATGCAACTAGTACTCATTTGGTTTGAAGTCCATTTGAACCAAAGCTCAAATGCAATTCTAAATTAAGTCTCTTATATATGCCATAATGTGTTTTCCCATAAACAGCATGTATAAGTTGGTTTGTCATGCATGAGACTAGTAGAGATGGAAATATTGCATTTTTCTGATAATTTTTCATATATAAATTATTTTAATCTGAGCTACGGTTGAATTGATATGAATTTTTGAAGTTTAAATCAATTTCTGGAATTTCCTGAATTATTTTAATTCCAGAAAATATATATTGCGCCAGCATGACGTCAACACGACGTTAGCAGTCAACTGCGGCTGACTGGGGTCAAACCTGACGTGTGGGGTCCACACGTCAGTGACACTGGGATTAACCCCGAGTCAAACCTGGGCTGATTAGCTTTGACTAAGCCCTGGGGCCCACTGGTCAGCGTCAGTAGGTGGGGATTAGTGCCTAATTAACAAAGCCACGTCAGCCCGCCGGAGTTCTGGCCGGCGGCGACCAATAGCGCGGCGGCGACTCACCGGACTTGCGCTACAAGCGGCGTTTGGTCGCGCAAAGACCCCCGGGGCGTAGCCCGTCGTCGTCCGCAACCAGGGGAGCTGGTGGGGGGCTGCGGGGGCGCCGGAGCTCGCCGGAGCAAAGCTCGTATCTTGGAGTTTAAGAAAGCAAGCTGCGGTCTCACGGTCAAGCACGGAGTCTGAGTATAAGGCTCTTGCAAATGGAACAGCGGAGTTAATCTGGATACAGTCAGTCCTTGGCGAGCTTGGTGTATTCTTGTCACGCGCTCCTGTTCTGTGGTGTGACAATCTTGGAGCCACCTATCTATCTGCAAATCCGGTGTTTCATGCCAGAACAAAGCATATAGAAGTGAGCTTTCATTTTGTACGAGAACGCGTTGCTGCCAAGGCACTTGATGTTCGGTTTATATCCTCCAAGGAAGAAGTGGCTGACATTTTCACAAAGCCGCTAGCCGAGAGTTCATTTGTTTTAAATCGACAATCTAAATCTTCTTGTAGGTAGTTCAGATTGAGGGGGAATGTTAAACCGAATATTGTTAGGATAAGATAGTTGTTAGTATCTAGGGTTTATCATATCCCTTGTAACAACCTTGATGTATATCCGGCACCGAAGTAGCCCTAGTTGGCTGAGTATATATATGAGCTCTAGGCCGCCGTTCCTGGTGAGCCAATTTAATCTACATCTTTTAGTTTCACAAGTTACAGTATACATCGAAGTGGTAAAATCTTGGCTCGGACGTGCAAATACTTTGCTTATAGTGTTTGTATACAGAAAATCTGTACTGACTAGGCACGTGAGGCAAGCTGTCAGCCACGGGACCGGGAAAAGGGGCATGTGGCCTGATTTTTTTGACAAACTCCTTGAATTTTCTTCTTCCTCACAAAATCCCATATGGATGTGACATTTTTTACCAATGGCTAACACTGAAGGTATACCCACCTTTCTGTTGGAATGACTTATATAGATAGCTTTTGGGGGCCGAGCTCCATGGAGACCTCCGTCTGCAAAATTCATAATCCATAGAGGTCGATGCTGCCGCTCCTCGGCGCGCTCGCCGCCGACTCGTGGATCGGCCGGTACCGGGCCATCGTGGCCGCCGGCGTCCTCTACCTCGTGGTTGGTTGGTGAACCTGCTCTCGGTTTATGACATTTTGTGTGTCCTTTAGCTCTCTCCACTCCACGACGTCCATTTGCCGTCTGTTTCATTTTCGAAATATTATAAGGAGTAGGATTGTACCGTAGGTTTAGGATCGTTTTCTTAATTTCCAGTGCGTGTGACATCACTGCTACGTCGCTTTTATGCGCGACTGTGATGCTAATCATTTGTGTTGTCGAATTGGAACTTTACACTAGGAATTTAGGATCAGGGTGGCATCTTTATATGACGAGATTGGATCTGTTCCTAACATTTTAGGCCTAAAATGACAAAAACATACGCTTGTCCTGAAATCGACATTGTCTGAACCTAGTTATTCAGTTCTTACAGTTCAGTGAATAATTGTACTCCCTTCGTCCGAAAATACTTGTCATGGATGTATCTAGATGTATTTTAGTTATAAATACATCGGTTTTCATCCATTTTGATGACAAGTATTTCCGGACGGTAGGTACATTGAAATGGATATATCTAGATGTATTTTAGTTTAAGATACATCTATTTTAATGACAAGTATTTCTGAACAGAGGGAGTACCTACCAGCAGCTCAAAACAGTAAAAATTACGTACGTTATGGACAGAGCTTTGGGATGCTGACGGTGTCATCCATGGTGCCACCACGTCAACCTCAACCTGGGGGATCCCCTTCCCGCGCGGCGTTCTTCTACGCCACGATCTACATGGTGGCGCTGGCGCAGGGCTTCCACAAGCCCAATGCGCAGGCCCTCGGCGCGGACCAGTTCCCCCGGAGCTCCCCGGACAGCATCGCGTCCCGCAGCTCTTTCTTCAACTGGCTCCACTTCGCCATGTGGTGGGGGTTCATTGTCGCCGTCGTCGGGCTGAGCTACGTGCAGGACAACGTCGGCTGGGATGCCGTGTTCGGGGCATCCTGGGCCATGATGCTCGCGTCCATGTCCTTGTTCTTGCTCGGCACGGGCATGTATCGTGTCGCCGAGCAGCCACGCGACCGGCGTGCTCTCGCGAGGCTCACGAGAACGTTTGCAGCTACGGCGCGTACATGGACAGACATGGTCTTTCGTCGCAGCGCCGCCATGGACGATGAATGGCAAGTTCGAACTGTGTTTATTATATGCTGCCACGCTGGAGATGTCATTACTGTGATTAACCTACGCTTATGCCAGTGCAGTTTGCTGAGGCCAAAAGAGCAGGAAGGCAAGGGGGTCATGGTGAAGCTGCTTCCGATATGGATGACCAGCGTCGTGTACGCAATGGTGATCGTGCAGGTGTCCACTCTGTTCACCAAGCAGGGCAGCACCATGGACCGGCGCATCGGCGCGACCACAGGCCTAGTCGTGCCCCCGACGGCGCTGCAGAGCTTCGTGGGCCTGGCCATCATCGCGTCCGTCCCGGTCTACGACCGCGCGTTCGTGCCCCTCGCGAGGCGCGTGACCAAGCACCCCTCCGGGATCACCATGCTCCAGCGCATCGGCGCCGGCATGGCCATCGCGACCGTCGCCATGGCCGTCGCGGGGCTCGTGGAGGCCGCGCGCCTCCGCGAGGCCAGGGACGCCAGCCTGGTGGACCGTCCGGGGGTGGCGGTGCCGATGAGCCTGTGGTGGATGGTGCCGCAGTACGTGCTGCTGGGCCTCGCCAACGTGTTCACCATCGTGGGGCTGGAGGAGTTCTTCTACGACCAGGTGCCCGACGCGCTCCGGAGCGTCGGGCTCGCGCTCTGCATGAGCATCATGGGCGTGGGGAGCTATGCCAGCGGCGTGCTCGTGTCGGCGATCGACTGGGCGACGAGGCGCACGGGGGAGAGCTGGTTCTCGGACAACCTCAACCGCGCCCACCTCGACTACTTCTACTGGGCTCTGGCCGGGGTCGCTGCTCTGGAGGTGCTCGTTTTCTTCTATTTTTCCAGGAGATACGTCTACACTAACAAACGCGACCTTGTAACGTAGAAATGCATCTCATGCTTCACTTCGCGGAACATTTCTTGATCTGTACTTCATTCTAATAATACAAAAATAGTTACCGATTTGATTTAGACAGGCCCATCTTAATCACGCGAGCCACATGGTGCTAATAAATATACGTACTACGACCATGGGCAGCTGTAATATCTAGCCCAGCAGGTACGCCCCGCAGACGGGACAAACTGAATAGATCACGCACCGGCACCACCTCCGGCCGGTAGCCAAGGCGCGAAGCGATGGAGTCAGGCCAGCCACTCCCGAGTTCGGACCCGCGGGACGGCCGCGGCGGCTGGCGCGCCGCGCTCTTCATCGTCGGTAATCTTGCCGGTCATTCGCCGCGTTGACTTGCCCCTGATGTGTGAAGTCTGAGCTATCATGTCTGCGCCGTGCGTGCAGTCGTCGGCTTCTTGGAGCGCATCGGGTTCATCGGCGTGGAGGGCAACCTGATCACGTACCTGACCGGCCCGCTGGGCATGTCCACCGCGGCCGGCGCCGCCAGCGTGAACGCCTGGTCCGGGACCGTGCTGGTGCTGCCGCTCGTCGGCGCGCTCGCCGCCGACTCGCGCCTCGGGCGCTACCGGGCGGTCCTGCTCGCGGGCGTGCTCTACCTGCTGGTCAGTACTAGCACAAACTCCTCTCCCTCATCTGTTTGAAGCATCATATTCATACCCACGACGTGCCTTGATTCCATTGCCATTGCGCGGTAGATAGTTGTGTGGTGGAGATGGCTATGATTTACACTACCGAAGAATTTCGCGCGATGAATTGATTCTGGCAAGGACTGCTTCAATCGTCATCACGGAATTGATTCACCCAAGTTTGTCCCATGAACCAAGAATCACCCAAATTCGTAGCGGGCGGAGGTGTGGGGGTGGTGGAGATTTTATTTTCTCGGTCAGTCCAGGGTGGCGAACGGAGCGCCGTGGGTTTCGGCGACCCGGAATTGGAGGAGGCGTCACACACACAGCAGAGGAGAAGGAACATTTTTTTTAAGGAGAGACGTTTGCGGCCACTTAAAATGAGAGAGTTGAGCTGGGTTTGTGAGTTTTTTTTTTTTTGAATAGTTAACCATTTGAGTGTTCGGCTAGACATGATTAACTCCTCAAAGTATTAATTTAAGGGTTCGGCTAGAGATGTCTTGCCTTTGACTTTTAAGCTGTTGCAATTTGTACAGTCGTTTGTAACGTTTTCGCGTGCATATTTGACTTCCCGTGTACTAATGTTGATGTCTCATGATGAGCAGAGCCTGGGAATGCTGACGGTATCATCCATGCTGCAAACGCAACAACTTCGTCCCGCCGACTGCCATGGCACGACCACCACCTGCTCGCCGCCGCCCTCGACGTCATCGTCACCCGCTCAGCTCGGCTTCTTCTACACCGCGCTCTACCTGCTAGCGCTGGCGCAGGGCTTCCACAAGCCGTGCTCGGAGGCCCTGGGTGCAGACCAGTTCGATTCCAGCGTGGGCGCGTCACGGAGCTCCTACTTCAACTGGTTCCACTTCTCCATCTCGTGGGGCTATGCCATCGCGGCGACTGCGGTCACCTACGTTGAAGAGAACGTCGGTTGGACGGTGGGGTTCGCCGCGTGCTGGGCCATCATGGTGGTGTACCTCGCTGTCTTCTTGCTTGGCAAGCGGACGTACCGGATAGAGCAGCCGGTGGACGGCAGTTCCTTTGGGCGGATCACTGAGAAGTTCGTCCTCTCTCAAACTGATGCCACCATTGACACCCAACGGTGAGCACGCGCCAATGCAAATTGACTTGACTGGGAGATGGCATCACAATGAGCACTGACGGTTGTATCTACTTGTGCAGGCTTTTGGAGACAAATCAGGACGGGTTCCTCGTTAAGCTGCTTCCTATCTGGCTGTCGAGCTTAGTGTTTGCCGCGTGCATCTCGCAGATCACCACCCTGTTCACCAAGCAGGGTAGCACGATGGACCGGCGCCTAGGCGGGGCCGCGGGCCTCGTCGTGCCGCCCGCGGCGCTGCAGTGCTGCATCAGTTTAACATTCATCGCCCTTGTCCCTGTCTATGACCGCACCATTGTACCCTTCGCGAGGCGCCTCACCGGTCACCCCGGGGGCATCACCATGCTCCAGCGCATCGGTGCTGGGATGGTCACGGCGTGCATCACCATGGTCATCGCGGCGCTCGTGGAAGCCAAGCGCCTCCGCGTTGCCAAGGACGCGGGCCTGCTCGACCGGCCGGACGTGGCGGTGCCTATGAGCCTATGCTGGCTGGTACCGCAGTACGTCCTTATCGGCCTCGCGGAGGTGTTCAGCTACATCGGACTGGAGGAATTCTTCTACGACCAGGTGCCCGAGGCGCTCCGTAGTGTGGGGCTGGCGCTATGCCTGAGCATCTTCGGCGTGGGGAGCTATGCCAGCGGCATGCTCGTGTGGGCGATCGACTGGGCCACGAAGAGGGGCGGGGGAGAGAGTTGGTTCTCCGACAACCTCAATCGCGCGCACCTCGATTACTTCTACTGGATCCTGGCTGGCCTCGGCGCTTTAGAGGTGGTCGTGTTCTTGTACTTTGCAAAACAGTATGTCTACCGAGACAAACCTGAGTAATGATCCGTACACCCTCCATCAGTTTCACGAGTATTTGGCATTTTCCCACCGATGCCTAATAGCATGTACCCTTCATTAGGAGCCTATCATTTTTTTTAAAATACTCAATTACACTAGTGGGGTAAACAGTTACTTTGGTGTTAAAAGTTGCGGTATACATCGAAGTGGTAAAACCTTGGCTCCGATGTGCAAATACTTTGCTTACCGTGTTTGTATACACAAAATCTGCATTGACTAGGCACGTGAGGCCGGCTGTCAGCTACGGGACCGGGCGAAGGGTTGTGCGGTGTGGTGGTTTTTTTGACAAACTTCTTGGATTTTCTTCTTCCTCATAAAATCCCCTATGGATGTGGCATTTTTAACCAATGGCTAACATGAAAGGTATACTCCGCCCTTCTATTGGAATGACTTATATAGATAGCTTTTGGAGGCCGAGCTCCATGGAGACCTCCATTTGCAAAATTCATAATTCATCAAAAAAGTTATGTTTTTAAAAATTCAGAAAGAAATACCGATATATATGGAGGCATAATGCAAATGTGTGTAAATTTTCAGAACAAATACATTGTAATGTCGGTTGTGAAAAAAATCCAGGGGCTTTTCGGCACATGCTTTTTTGTACATGTCACATTTCAGGGTATTTCAACACCCCATTGTAGGATCTAGTTACACAGAATGCAACATGCAAGAATAAGCTTAACCTAGGTAGGGTAAGGGTGGAATGGATTCTGATCCAGGATCTTGAACCTGTTCCTGAGAGCTCCAAATGCCCTCTCAACCGTCACTCTAAGGCTGGAGTGTCTGAGATTGAACAGCTCATGTGGAGTCCTAGGATAGTTCCTAACAGAGAACTCGTTCAGATGGTACCTAGTTTTCCTGAAGGGTGGAAGAACACCTGGGCGACATGCATAGCCAGCATCTCCTAGGTAGAACTTGCCATTAGGGCGACAGATGATGTCACTGAGTATGTTAGCATCATGTGCTGACCCTCCCCAGCCAACCAGCACATAGGTGAACTTCAGATTGAAGTCAACAGTACTAAGCACATTCTGGCTTGTGTAGTGCTCCCCCTAAATCTGGCAGATTGTGACCTCGGCACTCTGGCAGTGACATGAGTACCATCTATTGCCCCAACGCAATCCTGAAATGGCAATACAAGATTGTGTTAGTGCTCACCTTGAACTATCCAAGCATATCAAGCAATGAACTACATACTGCAGTGCTCACCTTGAAGTATGGATACCATCTTGGGTTGTGCGAATCTTGGTAGGAGTTTGGCTAGATGGTGACTTGATCATCTCTCTTCTGAGCTCCCCAACAACATACAACACTTGCTTGAAGTACCTTGAGATGGTCTCCATTGACCTCCTAAACGTGTTGTGGATAACCCTGAACCTCTAGTTATGGCTAACGATACGAAGGAACATGGCCACTTGCGCCACACGGGTGTGGATGCTATCTTCTAGCAACCCACTGGACCTAAAGGTATGAACAAGTCTGGCAAATGGTGCTCTTTTCATTCTAAGCAACCACGGAGCCTTTGTGTCGTTGCAGTTGTATATGTAGTTCAGATTGGACATTCTCTCCTATTCCCGCATAAGCATCACTTCGAGGATATCATTAAAAGCTACATCAAGGAATGAGATATCCATTAAAACACACAAAAAGAAAGATATCGAACTCCCAAAAGAGAGGATGGATCCAAATAAACGAAGCCCTCTACTAAGTTTCATGATGGCACAAAGTACCAAAAAAGAAACGATTTGCGTTCCGCCAACACACACTTGATAAGGATCACAAGATGAGTGTTTACGGAAAATAGGATAGCTCCCCCAAGAGTAGTGCATTATAGAGAATTTGCATATGAATACAAAATGTTGGACCATATCTGATGGCAGGTTTCTCAGCATGACGAACAACTCTCTTGTGCATGAACATGACCCATGCCTAAATCACAGCTATCAGTGCTCCGCCCTGAAGTACCAGCCGCATCCGTGCGTCCATAACCTAGTCCACATCGAGAGTGCTTTGAGAAATGGGAAAATCGATCCTACACCTTGCCTAACGTCCTAACATACGGGACATGCGGTGTTGCTTACCGTCATCGGAGACGAGGACGACAGGGAGGGCATGGCGAGTCAAGGACGACCAGACGGCGGTCAAATGGAAGAGCAGCAACAGATCCTACTGCCGGATCTGTCGCCGCCACCGCGTCCGCACAGATCTGAATCGCCGCCGCGTCCGCTCAGATCTGAATCGCCGCCGCCGATGGTGGCGAGGCTACAGGAGGTGGCTGTCCTAGAGGTAACGGCGTCCTAGTAAATGGGTGAGAGGGAGGGGGAGGGGTTGAGCCTAGATTTGGCGCCGTGACGCCTCTCCCGATTTCCATCTCACTATTGGGTAACGTAGCAGAAATTCAAAATTTTCTATGCATCACCAAGATCAATCTATGGAGTAATCTAGCAACGAGGGAAAGTGGAGTGCATCTACATACCCTTATAGATCGCTAAGCGGAAGCGTTCAAGTGAATGGGGTTGATGGAGTCGTACTCGTCGTGATCCAAATCACCGAAGATCCTAGTGCCGAACGGACGGCACCTCCGCGTTCAACACACGTGCAGCCCGGTGACGTCTCCCATGCCTTGATCCAGCAAGGAGAGAGGGAGAGGTTCGGGAAGACTCCGTCCAGCAGCAGCACGACGGCGTGGTGGTGGTGGAGGAGCGTGGCAATCTTGCAGGGCTTCGCCAAGCACCGCGGGAGAGGAGGAGGACTTGGGAGAGGGGGAGGGCTGCGCCAGAACTTGCGTGCGGCTGCCCTCCCACCCCTCACATATATATAGGGGCAAGGGAGAGGGGGGTCGGCCCCCTCAGATCCAATCTGAGGAGGGGACGGCGGCCAAGGGGGGGAGGAGTGCCTCCCAAGTCAAGTGGAGGCCCTCCCCCTTAGGGTTTCCCCTCTCCCATGCGCATGGGCCTTGAGGGGGGGGGCTGGTGCCCCTGGCCCATTAAGGCTAGGGCGCCCCCTTACAGCCCATGCTCCTGTATTGGACGTGGTGGAACATTTTTCGGACCTCCGGACCCCTCCGGAATCCTCCGGAACCTTCTGGAAGCTTCCCGGTACAATATCGGAAAAACCCGAACTTTTCCCGGAACCCGAACAACAACGTTCCATATATAAATCTTTACCTCCGGACCATTCCGGAACTCCTCGTGATGTCTGGGATCTCATCCGGGACTCCGAACAACATTCGGTAACCACATACATTTATTCCCTATAACCCTAGCGTCATCGAACCTTAAGTGTGTAGACCCTACGGGTTCGGGAGACACGTAGACATGACCGAGACAACTCTCCGGCCAATAACCAACAACGGGATCTGGATACCTAGGTTGGCTCCCACATGTTCCACGATGATCTCAATGGATGAACCACGATGTCTAGGATTCAATCAATCCCGTATTCAATTCCCTTTGTCTAGCGGTATAGTACTTACCCGAGATTCGATCGTCGGTATCCCGATACCTTGTTCAATCTCGTTACTGGCAAGTCTCTTTACTCATTCCGTAACATATCATCCCGTGATCAACCCCTTGGTCACATTGTGCACATTATGATGATGTCCTACCGAGTGGGCCCAGAGATACCTCTCCGTCACACGGAGTGACAAATCCCAGTCTCGATTCGTGCCAACCCAACAGACACTTTCGGAGATACCCGTAGTGTACCTTTATAGCCACCCAGTTATGTTGTGATGTTTGGTACACCCAAAGCATTCCTATGGTATCCGGGAGTTGCACAATCTCAAGGTCTAAAGAAAAGATACTTGACATTAGAAAAGCTTTAGCATACGAACTACACGATCTTTGTGCTAGGCTTAGGATTGGGTCTTGTCCATCACGTCATTCTCCTAATGATGTGATCCCGTTATCAACAACATCCAATGTCCATGGTCAGGAAACCGTAACCATCTATTGATCAACGAGCTAGTCAACTAGAGGCTTACTAGGGACATGGTGTTGTCTATGTACCCACACATGTATCTGAGTTTCCTATCAATACAATTATAGCATGGATAATAAACGATTATCATGAACAAGGAAATATAATAATAATAACTAATTTATTATTGCCTCTAGGGTATATTTCCAACAGTCTCCCACTTGCACTAGAGTTAATAATCTAGTTCACATCGCCATGTGATTAACACTCACAGGTCACATCGCCATGTGACCAACATCTAAAGAGTTTACTAGTATCACTAAACTAGTTCACATCATTATGTGATTAAGACTCAATGAGTTCTGGGGTTTGATCATGTTTTGCTTGTGAGAGAGGTTTTAGTCAACGGGTCTGCAACATTCAGATCCGTATGTACTTCGCAAATCTCTAGGTCATATTGTAAATGTTGCTTCCACGCTCCACTTGGTGCTATTCCAAATGGTTGCTCCACTATATGTATCCGGTTTGCTACTCAGAGTCACTCGGATAGGTGTTAAAGCTTGCATCGACGTAACCCTTTACGCCGAACTCTTTATCACCTCCATAATCGAGAAACATGTCCTTATTTACTCCAAGGACAATTTTGACCGCTGTCCAATGATCCATTCCTGGATCATTCTTGTACCCCTTGACTGACTCATGGCAAGGCACACTTCCGGTGCGGTACACAGCATAGCTTACTATAGAGCCTACGTCTGAAGCATAGGGGACGACCTTCGTCCTTTCTCTCAATTCTGCCGTGGTCGAGCTTTAAGTCTTAACTTCATACCTTACACCTCAGGCAAGAACTCCTTCTTTGACTGATCCATCTTGAACACCTTCAAGATCATGTCAAGGTATGTGCTCATTTGAAAGTACCATTTAGCAATTTTGATCTATCCTTATAGATCTTGATGCTCAATGTTCAAGTAGCTTAATCCAGGTTTTCCCTTGAAAAACACTTTTCAAATAACCCTATATGCTTTCCAGAAATCCTACATCATTTCTGATCAACAATATGT